TGATATTGTTGAAGAATATTCTCTCTGTTTAAAATCTGTTTTTCCGTTAACCTGCTATCGCACCCATACGAACGACAACCCTCAGAAATCGAAACTTGTGCCAGCTGAGGACTAAAGAGGTCTTACCTTTCAACGTGTGATTCTTAACACGTTAAAAGAACTTAATACTTTGCATCAATCGTTTGGAGTCCGCAATATATGATTCACTAGCAGAGAATTGAATGTGTTCTAAATTAATTCGTCAAACAATTAGCCCGTGAAACAAACATTTCTATATTCAATGGAAATCAATAAAAACTAATTCAGATGGAAACTCTCTTTCACACAGAATTGTCAGATCCTTCAATACTTATTGTAACGATATTGAAAAGCTGAGGTTACCTTTCCTTAGATTTAAAAATTATGTGAAATTTATTTTAAGTTATAATAAGGTGATTATCAGTTCTCCGTTTGTTATTCAATCGATTTTTTTCATATTCGTTACTGGTGTAATTTACTTAGCATTTATATATTGTTCACTCACTATCTTCCACATGTAAAATGGGTTTTTTTATTTGCTTTATTCTGATTGTATCCCTATAATCCTGCAATAAATGAATAAATTAGATTCAAAACACACTTAAAACATTTTTCATTCGTCAGAGTCTGCTTTATTCAAAACAGTTCTTCTTAGTTTCAATTACTCATGATAGTGTAACACAGAAACCGTTGAATATGATTGTTTTCTGCGAAGCGATCCCTTCCTGTTTCTTGGATGAGAAAAATATTTCCATTCTGAAGTTTAATTTTTTCCAGGACAAAATTTATTTCAAATATCTTTCGGGGCAAATGAAGTACTTTTTTGTTACCTATGAATGTTTGAGGATTCGAATGAATTCCTATCATTTCTGTGGTTTTCAGTTTTCCTTTCGATTATCACATTGAATGACAAATAAAAAAAATACATCGCAAATTCCCTGAAATGTATATTCCTGACATTTTTTGGTGAAGGTGCAGGGATGTTTGCATTAATTTGAATGATTTTGATATTGTCGTTGATAAAGTGGAAGCTTGGGACTTTCAGGTTGCTAGTCTGTAGAAAAAATATTCAGATCTTTGATGATGAATACATCAATCAACTGATATTTCTATCAGACGGATGAATTATATTACAAAAATTTTATTAGAATGACTCGTGACTGACTGACTGAAGAATAAGACAAATAAATAGTAGAACAAACCTAAGTCAACTAACGTAATTATCTTGAAATGATTTACATATTCATCAATATTATGAATAACAATGATACACTTTTTTTCATAAAGAACAGAAAATTGTCAATGGACAAAAAGTGTTTGAATTAGAAGGATATATTTTAAAAAAACATATGCCCGTTCAATGAATTGAAATTGTACCTTTTCAATTTAAATAGAATTCCTTTGGCTTGGATTAATAATAATAATTTATTTGCTCATAATATTTAGATATACAACAGAATAAGTAGCAATGATAACAAATAAAATAGAAAACCCATTAAAGGTGAAACCTTGTGCATGGGTATGCTATTAAAACATCAGTTTGATTTATAAAATGTTATCAAATAGGTGACTGAATGTTATTTATGTACTGTCATCGATGAAATGGATGGATTTAACCCATTCCGTGACAAAAAGTCATGATTTTATGCACAAATTGAGTGTTTTTTCTTATGTTATCCAAATTTGGTACTGAAGAGCAAGTAACACAAGTGTTTTACGACGAAACATCCGGTTGTCTACCACTGTTACATGTAAGTGAAATTTTACTTTTTTCATTGATTATATTGTGTAGGAATTCTGTGTATGATATCTGATTCAATTCCATTACGAATTTTTGAAATACAAACGGAATAGAAAAAATGTTTATTTTATAATTCAGCGTTCATATAAAACTATGTGTTTCGGTAAATTTACATGAAAATAGCTGTTCCGTGAAGAATTTTTCTCCCAGATTGCTTCCTTCCTTTCTTTGGAGGATCCCCAAACTTTTTGTATAACGATAGAGAAGTAGAAAGTCAAAACTTTTCTTTTCCAAAAAGTGTTTACTTTGGATACTACAGATATATCACATTGTATGAGTATTATGGAAGATGGAAAATCATATATAATTTCGCCTCAACATTGGATGGTGTCTTTTGAAGTATACACTGTAAGTTTCGGAAAATGTCTGTCGAAAAATAACTACTTTCCCGGCTAATATCATGCTGGACGTTTATGCTAGATAATTCTCAGAGAATAGGTAGTGTTGCTGGTGATTCTCGATTATCTAACAGCAGTTACTTTTGAGAAAGGTGAATATTTTGAGATTCCTTTTCAAGATGTTCATATAAAAGGAATTACTTTGAAAATGGATGCTGCTGGACAAACAAGGATCTGCAAGACCCTCTGTGGAGTGTTTTGTATGAATGACTGTCGTATATAATACAATGTCCAGCGTGATATTATCCGGGGAAGTAGATGTTTTTGGACAGGCCTTTTCCACAACATACTATGTGGGTTCGTTCGGAGAAATGAATGTAGGTATTGAGATTTAATTTCGAAATGAATATTTTTTTAAAGCTATGTATATCTTCCCGATATAGTCTTCTCTGTAGGACATAATTTGAAATTCAAGAAAACCCATAATCTCTGGTTGCAAAAAAACCCGAACTTTCAATTCGATCATATTGTCAGGTAACCCAAATCAGCATCCCCGGCCTCAAATTTGCCCGAAAAAGCACACAGGTGTCAAAACGGTATTCAGATCTTAATGGGAACGTCAAAAGTAAACACATCTGAGAATCCCGTGACAAATCACCATCAATTGTTCCCATTTCGACACCCGTTCTAGGGCAAGTG